GCAACCCATACTTTTCCCTTCCTGATTTCCTACATCTTTGTCTGCGTGCCGTATTCATTTTCCAAACCACCCATGCGTGCGTCTTTGTGCGTGGGCATGTGCTTGAACCAGAACGGGTGCCAACCATGTAATTAGCTGCGCCACAACAACGCTGGCGAATGCTGTTATTCCTACATACTGCTCGGTCTAACGTGACCAACAAGATTGACTCGTACGAGGTAGCAACCACACAGATCAGGATGCCGTATGAACCCCTGCAAGCAGCAATACTTCACACCGCACAAAGCATCGCCTTTTGCGGGCTGCCGGTCGAGCTGTGCTATCCTCAAACTTCGGCGGCTGCATGACTAGGAGACACGGCTGCGCACGGGCTGCAGCAGCTCCAAACAAATTCATTTCGATTAAAAACAATAACATGGTTGAGCCACCCCTCGTATGACCTAATACAGAGTGCCGGTCTGCTATGCGCAGGCTCAGGCGGCGGTGCCGAAGAGGCCCGATGCGTCCTGCGACCCCGCAGCGCCCGTGCTTTCACCAGGAGCAGCGACAGTACGAGCACGGGCCAAAGCGCCAGTGACAAAGTCTTCCTTGGAGGCAGGCTTGTGCTTCACACACGCCCTGGCAACTTTCTCGGCCGCGTAGCCCGTGAAGAAGACGTTGTTGGCAGACAAGATGAAGAGCAGCCCTCGCAAAGGTGACGAAGGCTTGGACAGCCAGTCGTGGAGCTGCTCAGCGGCTTTCTGCACCTCCGGTTCAGAGCGCCCTGGTGCAGGAGCGCTGGGGTCCACGCGCCGCTTCTTGACAGCGCGAAAGGATGCCTGGACAGGCCCCTGACCCGCAATGCCTTTACCGAAGTTGAGGACTTCCAGATGCGGCTTCAAAGTCTTGGCTTCGCCCATGGCAGCAGCATACAAATCTTCTTTGAGGATGCGCTTGAGGTTCTCGTGCTCCAATGCCTCCACTGCGTGGAGCAGGGCTGCAGCTGTCATACTGATGCCCGCGCCCACATGCCAGGCATCGGTGGTCAAATTTGCGCAGAGGTGGCTGTGGTAAGCCGCCTTGCGATTCCCCTTCTTGGTGGCATCCCATAGCTCTGGAAGCTCCATGTCACCGAGGGCCGATTTGCCATAGGGTTCCAGGAGTTGCGCGGCGACCGAGTCATACCCGAACAGCTTCGTGCGCCGGCCGTCCGCTGCAGAGGCCGCATCAGGGGCAGCGCCGGCAGCACCGCTTCCGAAGAGGCCTTGCGCGTCCATGGCGGGATCCAGCAAAATGGGGGCAGGCAAGGAAGGAGGCTGTGTGATCCGAAATAGCTACAGCGGCATGTGAGTTAAAGACCTCAGTCGTGGAAACAGCCCATGGTGGGCAATCACATCGTTCCGTTGGAACAGCTTGCGACACGGTGCACACATTCGCCATGAAGCCTGAACAGTAGCGAACCCACTGGAACTCATTACGCAACGCAGGCAGCTGGACAACTAGGCAGGCACATCGTGCTGATGCACTTGAAGATTTTCTGCAAGCAGGGCAACGTTGTCTGGGTCCTTCAATTGCGTCAAGGTGAAACTCACCGAATGAACGAGTCCTCAGAGCTCTCAGAGCAATCCGGAGAACAGCTCGTTTCGGGCTCCTCTTCCGCCCCGCTTTCGGAATCTGAGCTACCCTCCTGATCTACATCCATCGATGACTCCTCACTTTCCGAGGAACCTTCGTCTCGGTCTTCAAGGTCGGACGAATTGTGTTCTGAATGCCCGCACTGCACATCAACAGCTCCACAATCAAATACCTCCTCCAAGAGCCGCACCAATGGACTCGTCTGAACTCCCACACCGCTGCGGCCGCTCAACTCCTCTATGGAGACCCCGGGATTGAACTTCACCCACGCCACGGCGTGCACATGAAGGGTGCCACGTCCTTGGAACTCAAAGCGATAGGTGTAGTGCTCGATCTCCGCAATTCCCAAGTCGGCCGCCTGGGCCTTGTTCTTCCACAGCACCTCATCCAGGATGGCGCCGATGCAGTTGTGCATGTGCATGGTCAACCAGGCTTGACATTGGCTGAGATCATCCTGGTCGGCTTTGCCGAACATGCCCCCGTGTAGGGGGAACCTCCACTCAGCGGGAGCAATGGTGAAGAAGAGATTTGGGAACGTCTGGGCCTGCCGACACACGTCCTCCAACTTCTGTGCTTGGTGGTGCCAGTATTGTTCAAACTGCGGCATGTCCGCAGCAGCCTCATCCGGCGAGATCTTCTGCTTCTCAGCAACAGCGACCACTGAGGTAATTGTTTTCGCCATGGTCGCGTCATGTAAGAAGCACTGCAACGGGTAGTCCTTGACAAAGTCCACATTGCGAGAGAGCACTTTGCGAAGCCAGTGAGTCTTGGCGCTCGGCGTGGAGGACGCTTTCAGGATGCCCAACTCTTTCAGCCGGTTGGATATATCCGTGTCTCCGAGGCTTGCCTACAGGTTCAAAACTATCCAATCCGACAAAAAAACAACTCATACGCTTCTGAAGTTACCCCAAAGCCTTCACGTAGAGCCAAGGTCGCGCAGCCACCTCGATGCCAGGCATCTGCAACAGCAGCTGGCGTTTTCGGCGTTCGCATTGGCTCGAAGTAGCTCACGGTGTTGAAGCACGTAGGTCCTGTAGGTGTCGTTGTGCTCCATGAGGAAGGTGAAAGCCCGAAGAGAAGCGGGCGTGGGCAGCTGCTCCGTAACGTCCGCAGGCTTCCAAATTGCGCGCACCAAGGACTTCTTCTGTTTGGCCGTGACGCAGGCTTGCCCACCTCTTCGAGTAACGTAGTCCACCTTCAGGTCCAACGGAGCTAGACGTGCGGCATCTTCCTTGGGCAAGATCGTAAAGAAATCATCCCAGCCGAGGTTGCCCTCGCACACGAAATCCCGGAAAGCCTCCCAGTAGCTGGCGTCCGGGGTCAAATACGCCTGCAGCTTGCCGCCGCTCTCTTCCTTGGCCGCTTCCTCCACAGCCGGAGCACGGGCCTCCAAACGAGCTGGGTCGGGGTCACATGTGGGAGAGCATGGACAGGAGACGGCGGCTGCCGCGTGGGAGCGCCAATGCAAGGAGCAGGTTCGCTTTGCCGTTCGCCGCCCGCACCTGAGCTGCAGAAGAAAAAGCTATCAAGAGACCAAAGCAAGAAAGCACATTGGCACTTAATTACCATGCTCTCGTGCCTCGAGCAGTACGTCCAGGAAGCATGGCGCATCCAGCCGCGAAACTCTTGCGCTAAAGGCATCTGGCTCGAGTGTTGGTCAGGGAGCGCGCCAGCCGCTGCAGAGCCTTCGACGGAAAACCGTCGCCCGAGTTCCTGTTGCCAAGACGAAGCTGCGGGAGGCCGTTCCGCCTGAAGCTGAAGGCACTTGTTGTTAGCGATGTGGCACGATGCCGCCATAGCCCGGCGGGAGCTGTGCGCTTGCGTCTTGGCTGCCACATGTTCTCGAACTCGTGCGCGAATTTTCTCCTTGTCGGCGAAAGCCCATCGGCGCAGCGTATCCAATTTGCCGGGCTGTCCCGGGAAGAACTTGGCTGCTAGCTCAGCTGGAGATGCGCCTTGGTCCTGCATAAGTAACAGCTCTTCCATCTGACCTTGCGTCAAGCCATGACGCGTCCAAGGCCCCGATGATGCTTGTTGGTTGGCAGTCCCGAAGAAGGAGGCCGGCAAACGACGTCGCCTGAAGCTCCCCCGGCAGCCATCGCCCGCAGCGGCGGGTTGCAGTGCCTGCCACGGACTGTGCTGAGCAGGCCGCTCGCCCCTAACCAGGGCCCAGTAGTGCTCAGCTCCGCGAACTCTTTCATCCAGGAAGAGGTAGATAGGCTGCACCGGTGCGCCCACCACGCCCAGGGCGGGCACGAAGCAGGAAGGCCTCTGTTCGGGCTCCATGAGCCGCCAGATGATCATGGGCCGCTTCAAACAGTCCGTCAACACCCGGCATGCTAATCCATCGCCCCAAAAACGGTCTTGCGCCATGTTGCGGCACCATTCCAGCACCTGCTCTCGACTGCAAGGCGGCAGGTATGGCGCGTAGCGCTCCCATGCATCAGCAGCACCAGCTGCGCAGATGGCTCGCAGCGCCACGTGGTGTTCTTCACCTTCAGGAACTTGACAAGCCGCGGCACGAAAGAGGCAGTTGCCATCGCCGGCAATGCCTCGAAGCTGCAGATGTGGGATCACGGCTGCCGCGTGCTCCTGCAGAAGCTCCTCGGCTGCCTCCATATCGATCGCTGCATCCAAGCCCACTTCACGCGCCATGGCACAAACCACGGAGGCTTTCCTAACACAAAGAACTTTCCGCTGCTGGAAGCTGGAGCCGAAACACGAACATGCTCAATCTGCAAGACCTGCTGTTGCGCGTAAACTCTCCACCTGCAAAAGCGAATGCGCAGCTATCAGCGCCGAGAACCACAGCCAGCACTCCTACGACCCCCGCTACCAGCACGGTTTTCCTGCCCAGCAGTGAGCTTCGAATATCTCTAGACTCTATGAGCGCACGGCAGGCCAAACAGAGCACTCTCGGTGCCCGTGGCACCGCCGCTCGCGCTACACAGTATCTGAAATGATTCAAAAAAACAAGAGCCCCAAGGATGAAAGAGCTT